GTTCCTAGGTCGACGCTCAACCACTGAGCCACGCCGGCCGGTCTCTCACTACATTTCAAACGCACACGCCTCGTGCTCGCGGAAGGAGATGCCTGTGTCCCTGGCTGTGTTTTTTTTCTTTAAATATTTGTATTGATTTCAGAGAGGAAGGGAGAGGGAGAGAGAGAAACATCAATGATGAGAGAGAATCATTGATCGGCTGCCTCCTGCACGCCCCCTACTGGAGATCAAGCCCACAACCCAGGCAGGTGCCCTGACCGGGAATCGAACCGTGACCTCCCAGTTCCTAGGTCGACGCTCAACCACTGAGCCACTCCGGCCGGTGTCTCGCTACATTTCGAACGCACACGCTCCTTTAGCCTCGTGCACGCGGAAGGAGAAAGGGCGGCCTCCGTGTCTGCAGAGATGCCGAACAGGAGCGTTTTCCCTCCTCCTTCTGATGCCCTTCACTTCCTTCTCCCCCCTCAGGCTCCTGGAAGTCGACATTTCCAGCAACAAGCTGGCCCACCTCCCGCCGGGGTTCTTGCACCTCTCGAAGCTGCAAAAGCTGACGGCTTCGAAAAACTACTTAGAGAAATTGTTTGAGGAAGAAAGTGGTATGTCCCGCCCTCCGCAACCTGACCTGATGGGTTGTCTCCTTCCTGATGAGGATTTTTTGACCAAGGCACCCTTTCCCTCCCCCGTCTAGCCACCAACTGGATCGGTTTGCGGAAGCTGCAGGAGCTGGATGTTTCCGATAATAAACTGACCGAACTCCCGGCGACGTTTCTTCATTCTTTCAAGTCACTCCATTGCCTGAATGTCTCCAGAAATAAGCTGAAGGTGTTCCCAGATGCCTGGGCCTGCCCGTTGGTGAGTATCAGACCGGAAATCCCAGAGGGCTCAGTGCGCTGCCTACGGAGTGTCACTCACCAGAAATGTCACTCGGGCCCGGCCGGCATGGCTCCGTGGTTGAGCGTCGATCTAGGAACCAGGAGGTCACCGGTTCGATTCCCGGTCAGGGCACATGCCTGTGTTGTGTTGCAGGCTCAACTTCCAGTGTGGGGCGTGCAGGAGGCAGCTGATCCATGATTCTCTCTCATCACTGATGTTTCTATCTCTCTCTCCCTCTCCCTTCCTCTCTGAAATCAATAAAAAATAGGTTTAAAAAAAAAAAAGTAAAGAAAAGAAAGACATGTCACTCAGCATCCAACAACTGAGTGTCTGAGGCAGGTAACTCACCGGAAAGCCAGACCATGTGGCTCTGGGCTTGAGATTTGCACCGTCAGACCCACAGACGTTTCCATGGTTACAGCGTGCACATGGGGCACAGGATGGCTTCTGCCCAGGAAAGGGGGGCTCGGTTCCTTTCAGACGGTTCTAAACTAAGAATGAATCAGAGCCCTGGCCAGTGTTGCTAAGTGGTTAGAGTAGCAGCCCTCGCACCAAAGGGTCACGGGTTCGATTCCCAGTCCAGGGCACGTACCTGGGTCGCAGGTTCATCCCTGGCCCTGATTGGGGCGCGTGCAGGAGGTAACCAATGGATGTGTCTCTCTCACATCGATGTTTCTCTCTCTTTCTCTCCTCCTCCCTCTTTTCCTTCCACTCTTTTTTTAAAAAAATACATTTTTATTGATATCAGAGAGGAAGGGAGAGGGATAGAGAGAAGAAACAGCAATGATGAGAGAGAATCACGGATCGGCTGCCTCCTGCACGCCCCCTACTGGGGAGGGAGCCCACAACCCGACCTCCTGGTTCATAGGTCGGCGCTCAACCATTGAGCCAGAACAGACAGGCCCTCCTACTCTCTCCCTAAAAATCAATGGAAAACATCTCCTCGGGTCGAGGATTAACAAAACAAAACAAAATAATAGTAAAGAAGAAAGAATCCGCCTGAGCCAACGAAATGGTGTTTCTGTTTCTTGGGAAGTTTGCTCGTTAGAGCGGGCGGAACGGCAGGGAAAGTCTCTTCTCGCTGTGGGTTCAGAGCCAGGAAACTCGCCGTCAGCAGCGCCAGCGTTTCCAGTTTAAACATCTGCGTGTGGGAATCCGGCTGCCCTCCAGAGCTCGGGCCTGAATGGTCCCATTATCCCCAAGGACAATGGGCCAGATGTTCTGGGCGGGAGGAGACGGGCTAGGAGTCCCCCTCACCGCCCCCTCCCCTCCCTCCACCCCGTCTCCGTCCCTTCCTTGGAGCCAGGACGGGAAAACGGGGCAACCACAGTGTGTAGCCTCTTAGTGAACTGAGTGCTATTTGTCACGGAGCCATGGTGCCGCGGTCTTATTGCTATTTTGTTGTTAATCCTCACCCGAGGATATTTTTCCACTGATTTTTAGAGAGGGTGGAAGGGAGGGAGGGAGAGACACAGAGAGAGAAACATCCATGTGAGAGAGGCGCATCGATTGGTTGCCTCCTGCACGCGCCCCAACCAGGGCCGGGGATCGAACCTGCAATGGAAGTACGTGCCCTTGACCGGGAATCGAACCCGGGACCCATCTCTCAGCAGGCCAACGCTCTGTCCACTGAGCCAAACCGGCTAGGGCTAGAGGTCCGGTTTTTTTTTAAATCAAATTTGGAAGGTCTTTCTCATCGGCAACGTCATGTTTACAAAGCAAATTCAGCCCTGGCCAGTGTGGTGCAGTGGTTAGAGCGCCGGCCCGTGCATCCAAGGGTGGTATGTGCGTTTTCCGGTCTGGGTGGGTGGGGGAGGCAACCAATCGATGTGTCTCTCTCACATCTCTCTCTCTCTCTCTCTTTCACCCTTCCCACTTCCCATTCTCTCTAAAAATCCATGGGGGAAAAATAGCTAATTCATGTCTTTTTTCTCTTTCTCGCCAAACGGCTAGAAATGCTGCAAAGCATCCCAGAATGCCCTGGAATGTCTGCCAGACAGAATGGCCGTGTTCTGGAAAAACCACCTGAGAGACGTGGATTTCTCCGAAAACGCACTCAGAGACGTCCCCCTGGGCCTCTTCCAGCTGGACGTGAGTCCCCGCGCCCCTCCCTGCCTCCCTCGCAGCGTCTGTGGGAAAACCACCCCGTTCGCTTCTCCTGCGGTTCCGAGGCACAAGGGGTGAAGGAAAGTTAAACACCTGTTCCCTGGCCGTGTGGCTCAGTGGTGGAGCATCGACTTACGAACCAGGAGGTCACGGTTCGATTCCCAGTCAGGGCACATGCCCGGGTTTCGGGCTCCATCCCTGGCCAGGCTAATTTCCTGCATCTTAAGACAACTCTCGAGCCCACACTATGGGCTCTCGGTCAAGGTACATCGGTCATGACCTATGGCTGCCCTTGGCCGGGGAACTGACCTCTCTCGTCGGCTCTCCCTCCCTTTAGCACAGGGCTCCTCAAACTACGGCCCACGGGCCACATGCAAATACAAATATTGTATTTGTTCCCGTTTTGTTGTTTTACTTCAAAATAAGATATGTGCAGTGTGCATAGGAATTTGTTCATAGTATTTTTTTAAACTATAGTCCGGCCCTCCAACGGTCTGAGGGACAGTGAACTGGCCCCCTGTTTAAAAAGTTTGAGGACCCCTGCTTTAGCATTTTTTTAAAAAGATACATATGTTTATTGATTTCAGAGAAGGAGAGAGAGAGAGAGCGAAACATCAATGAGGAGAGAGAATCATGGATTGGCTGCGTCCTGCACTCCCCCTGCTGGGGACCAAGGGTACAACCCGGACATGTGCCCTGACTGGGAATCCAGCGGTGACCTCCTGGTTCTTAGGTTGATGCTCAACCACTGAGCCAGGCCAGCCGGGCTCCCTTTGGCGGGTAACGGCGCCGTTATCTCCCTCCCTCTCTGCCCCAGGCCCTGGTGTCCTTGAAGTTGCAGGGCAACCAGCTGGTGGCCGTGCCCCCTCCGGAGAAGTGGACCTGCACTCAGCTGAAGACGCTGGATCTCTCCAGAAACCAGTTTGGCAAGTAAGCGAGTCTCTGTCCCACAGGTTCTGAGTCGCGTGTTACCCCGCCCAGCAGCCCCTCGGGGTGGGTCTCTCATCCTTGGTCAGTGGCCATCACGAAGCGACCCAGGCTGGGGGCTTAAACAGCGCACATTTGCCCGGCCGGGCGGGGCTCAGGGGTTGAGCATCGACCTATGAACCAGGAGGTCACGGTTCCATTCCCAGTCAGGGCACATGCCTGGGTTGCGGGCTCCGTCCCCAGTAGGGGGCGTGCAGGAGGCAGACAATCCATGATTCTCTCTCATCATCGATGTTTCTCTCTGTCTCCCCCCTCTCCTTTCCTCTCTCTGAAATCGATAAAAACATATTTTAAAATAAACGAATAAATAAAATGAATAAAGCAAAAAACTTTTTTTAACGTTTTTGCCCATTGCTAAGCAATATGTGTACAGAGTGATTTTTAGAGAGAGGAGGAGAGAGGGAGAAACATTGATGTGAGAGAGACTGAATAAAAAGGTGAAAATCTCCCAGCTGGTGTAGCTCAGTGGTTGAGCGTTGACCTAGGAACCAGGAGGTCACCCGCCGGTTTGATTCCTGGTCGGGCATATGCCTGACATGTTTTAAAATAAATATATAAGAACGTAGTTTTGGAAATATACGGAAATTCAACAGAACGTGCACTCTGGAGAGAATATCCGTGGTGAGATGCACTTTCCTCAAAGTGGCATCCGCTGGAGCGGGCATTCCTGCCGGGCCCGCCCCGCTCACACCTGCCTGCAGTGGAAACGCTGGGAACCGGAAACCCAGAGTCAGGCCGCCCTTAGGTCACCTTCTCCAGCCGTTTCTTTCCCCAAAGACTCAAGCGTGCGCACCACGGGCGTCCTTCGCAGGCTGGGGGCACAGGGATCTCGGTGGAACTCTCTCCCTTCTCTCTGCAGGCTCGGCCATCACATAGTCCCGGCCCCAATAGTAAGGTCTTTGTCCTGCTTTCCTCAAATCTTGACTCTTTTTTTTTTTCCTTCTCCCCGCAGAAATGAAGATGGACTGAAAACAAAGCGCATTTCCTTCTTCACCACCAGGGGGCGCCAGCGGTCAGGGACTGAGACAGGTGTGTGTGTAGGTACTGGTGATGAGGATGCTGGGCGGGTGGCACCCTGCTTTCTCCCCCTCCCTCTCCCCCTCCCCCCC